CCTGAGTTCAATGCCTGGTTCCGCCAAAAAAAAAAAAAAAGAAAAAGAAAAAAGAGACAGTGGACTTTGGAAGATTTTGATATTGGTCGCCCACTAGGTAAAGGGAAGTTTGGCAATGTTTATTTGGCAAGAGAAAAGCAAAGCAAGTTTATCCTGGCTCTGAAAGTGTTGTTTCAAGCTCAGCTGGAGAAAGCAGGAGTGGAGCACCAGCTCAGAAGAGAAGTAGAAATACAGTCCCACCTTCAGCACCCCAACATCCTCGGGCTGTATGGCTATTTCCATGATGCCACAAGAGTTTATCAACTTCTGGAATATGTGCCGCTTGGAACGGTCTATAGGGAACTGCAGAAGCTCTCCAAGTTTGATGAGCAGGGAACCGCTACGTGTATCACAGAATTTGCAAATGCCCTGCCTTACTGTCATTCCAAGAGAGTTATTCATAGAGATATTAAACCAGAGAACCTCTTCCGCCACAGCAACCATTGAAAAAGAGCCTTGGCCCTCCGCTATCCCATGGCCGTGGGCCTCCACAAGGGCCACAAGGTGACTAAGAATGTGAGCAAACCGAGGCACAGCCACTGCCGTGGATGTCTCACCAAACACACCAAGTTCGTGCGGGACATGATCCCGGAGATGTGCAGCTTTGCCCCCTATGAGTGGCACGCCATAGAGCCGCTCAAGGTCTCCAAGGACAAGTGTGCCCTCAAGTTCATCAAGGAAAGGGTGGGGATGCACATCCGTGTCAAGAGGAAGGGTGAGGAGCTGAGCAATGTGCTGGCTGCCATGAGGAAGGCAGCTGCCAAGAAGGACTGAGCCCCTCTGGAATAAGGCTTTGCAGAAAAAAAAAAATAAACCAGAGAACCTGCTGCTGGGATCAACTGGAGAGTTGAAGATTGCAGATTTTGGGTGGTCGGTACACACTCCATCCTCCTGGAGGACTTCTCTGTGTGGCACTCTGGACTACCTGCCGCCCGAGATGATTGAGGGCTGGGTGCATGACGAGAAGGTGGACCTCTGGAGCCTGGGAGTCCTTTGCTACGAGTTTTTGGTCGGGAACCCTTGCTTTGAGGCACACACTCACCAAGAGACCTACAAAAGGATATCGTGGGTTGAATATACATTCCCTGACTTTGTGACAGAAGGAGCCCAGGACTTCATTTCAAGGCTGCTCAAGTATAATCCAAGCCAGAGGCGGACTCTTAGTGAAGTGCTTGAACACCCGTGGATCATAACAAATTCTACCAAGCCATCACCTTGCCAGAAAAGCCAAACAGCAGCTAAGAAGTCATCTTAAGTCACGCAGGGGGAGGGATCCTTGGAGCAGGGCTGCCATGTAACCTTTGGGGATGTGCTCCTAGAGCCATGTTACTGTTGACTCCTGCTCCGCTCACAGGCCACAGAAGTGTTACTTCTCGCCCTGAGCCTGCAGTGCCCTGGCCCCCTGTTCACATGGCCCCCCTGCAGTGAACGTGACACTCTGTGAAGGTGCCTCAAGAATCATGCTGCTTTGACCATGTCCATACACAGGCAGGACTCAGCGGCAGCCATATACACAGCCCCTGCTGGGGTCCTTGTGTGAGAATTCGGAGTCTGGTTGTCAGGAAAGTGACTGCTTTCCTCCGACTGAATCAGCGAGTGCGCTACACAGTAACCTTCAAGAACTTGAGTGTGTGTGTAACTTATTGCATGGTCAAACCTGGGAAAGGAGTTGGAATGAACATGATTATTTTAAATATTGAAGATTTCTGTATGGTGTCGTCCTTTCTGTGCATCCCGTTGCAAGGCTCTCATCATTGATTGCCCCTGTTAAGCCTGACCGGGTCTCTGGTTGTCCTTAACCACTATGAAATGAACACATGCTCTACCTCTGTCTCAGGAATTGTGTGGGATACGCAAGGGGCCTGATGTCTCAGAACTTTTTCTAACTTTTAGGGCTTTTTATCACGTTGGAGTTATAGCATGTGTGTAAACTTGTTAAATGCATAAATAAATATACTGATTTACCTGGAAAAAAAATTTTTTTCCCATCCAAAGTAATGCCAGTCTGATTAGAGAGAACCATATTTTAGTATATGTGCTGCCGCAGCAAGCACTTTCAGAGAACCCTAAAGCAGTGGATCCAGAGTTCTCTTCCATCTTGTTCATAGACCCTTTCCCCATGGTTCTGAGGAGATCTCTTTCTGCTTTACCTTCTCGTGTGGATGAAAGGTTAGGTTTGAAAGTCCTACCTTCAGTGTCTTATTCTCAGGACAGAACAAGTTGCTTCATGTCATTGGCCTCAAATTAGTGATGAAAACGTTAAGTGCAGGGGTGTTAACTGGTGTGAACTGTTCTGGAAGCCAAGGGTCCTTGCCTGAGCTGGTGAGGAAGTGT